CTGAATGGATCCGCTGTACGTGAATTAGGTGTCATGGATGACTTTTAGTCACAATACATTTGGCCTTTTACACGGTCAGTGTCACATGTTGCAAACAAAGAATCCCACTGATTATTGAGGGAACTAAATTCGGAAACAATCTATCCAATGTGTGGTCATGGAAATACGGTTCTGAAGAACCACAAACTACAAAATATAGCTGCCGACTAGTCCTGTGTTTTCAAAGGTTCTTTTCCATTTGACAAAAGTATGATGGAAACCATCGTCATACTTAATAGATCACATAAATTGGAAGACCCCCCCCCATTGTTCATCATCAAAAATAGAGTTACTAAAATCAAACAAATATTTAAAGTAACAAGCCCCCTTTACAAATTTTGATGGAACAATGACAAGACGGAATTTAAGTATTTGCGCCAAACATTTCGAACAATTCGGTCACACATATACTTCTCAAGGCATTTTATATGAAAATTAAGAAAGGTCAAATAAAGTTCAAGAGGGCAAAGTGATAATTATCAGAAGGGGATTTTGTGGAGATTTTAGTAGTTTTATAGTTGAAATCATGAGTCATTTACAGCTTTCTATGGTGGTCTAGCTTCAATGGACTCATGATTTCAACTATAAAACTACTAAAATCTCCACAAAATCCCCTTCTGATAATTATCACTTTGTAAATAAGGAAAATTAACACTGTAAGGGATAAAAAATTGTCGCATTACCCTTAGGTCATAAAATGACTTGAAGATTGACAAATTCTATACGTTTTAAAAACTGTACTGATGTCAATTCTATGCCCCATTTCTACTCCCCACGTTTATCGGGGCATTTGGTTTTAAAGCCATCTAGGCACATGTTCCATAACCCTGTATTGCATTGTTCGATTACTCCCCCCCCCATGTATGTGTGTCCAGAAAAATATGTAAATTGGTAAACGCAATGTTATGTAACGTAACCGTTCTTGGAAAGTCTAGACTTATGTTAATCATGAGTTTAGTCCTTTCAATCACAACCAGTATAGAAGCATATGTTTTCTCGATGGCTGCTTTTAGTCTGTCTTAAAATCATACTGTTTGATTCATGTCTGAATGGTAGAGTGATATAAATACTTTTCTTCGCAGCAGAATTAAACAGAGATTTCGGTGTTGACTGACTTTTGCACTTTGGTGGATAATCGTTTGATATTAGTGTATCAGTGAGGAGTTTCACATCTTCACACGTATCTGTAGTACATATTCTTTGAGTCCATTTGGAAAAGCACTTTACCAAGCCTATCTTGGTTATTTCTGAGATTATGATGAAAAAATATTTTACGGTTATATATTCTATAAATAAATCTCGGTAAATATATTTCTTTTCATTTATTCATATATTTGTCAGCTGTTATTATTATTGTTGTGACTTTATAAAATAAAAGTCGTCTGTCAATTTGTCATAGTCTTATGCCCGGCTTTTTATCACGTGATTTATCCACCAATCGAAATACGACTTCTCTAATCTTGACGCTGTGCCAAAACAATGATATTCGACCAGGATGAGCAGTTTAGCGTCCTTATTGATCCCTTGTTCGCCTAGTCCTTCCAATTGAGCCCCAAAACACCGATTGCAGCTTCTGCTATATATATATATATATATATATATATATATATATATATATATATATATATATATATATATATAGTTGAGATCACGAGTCAATTGAAGTTTGACCATCATGGAAAACCTGGAAGCACTGGACAGCCGTTTCGTCCTATTGTGGGACTCCTCAGCAGTGCGCATTCACTATCCCACCTCGCCAGATTCGAACTCAGGACCTATCGGTCTCGCGCGCAAGCGCTTAACCACTAGATCACTGAGCCGGCATCCAACATTGTTAGTGTCTAACTTCAAACAATCCATGAATGGAATGAATGCACTACATCTCTTAACGTTCGTTATATGGCTTTATTATTTTTTTATTAAAAATATTTCTTAAATGAAAGACAACTTTTACAAACTGAATATACTGTTCACAAAAAAATACTTTCTATGAATCTTCATTTTTGTGTATGATGTTGATGGCGATTTATTGAAAAGCTGTTTGGAAGAGTTATTTTAAAAGTCATTTAATATAGCAAGTTGTTGTATATAACCTATTGTAGTCCTCTTGCTGAGACTATAATTTTTGGACTAACCAATCAAGTATAAGATAACAGGTCTCGGATTTCTGCGCGAATTCAGCTAATTCATTTGGATAAATAAAGTTTAGGCACTATCGCTGATGTCAGTTCGTGATGAAAACCCTAAGTATAATTCCTAACTTTAACCATGAACTGTAAATCATAATTCGAACTCCTCACATAGGTTTATAACCTTCATTTCATCCTAGTTATTGTATGGACACTCTCGAGGTCACTCTAGCGTCCCTCGAAGGTCGTCCATAAATTATAGTCCCACCTTCCTCTTTTATGCCTACATGTGAAAGATTAACTGTCCAAACTGACCAATTTATTGTATATATTATCAATTCACCTGTTTCTGTGCGATTAGATATGTAGACAATTTGTTATGTTTACTTCGATAGCATTTACTATCATTACATCTCAATGGGCAGCTTAGATCAATTACGCTTTCTATTCCGTCTCATGTAGTAGTTTATAAACTTCCAAATTTAACATGACCCTATGAAAAGATAAAATTAGATTTTTGTGCAATATTAATTACACAGTGTTATGCCTTTTGTGTGCTATTTTATTTCGTATAACATTGATTTTCTCTAGTGTATGGTATTCTTTGCATAAAATTAACATGAATTACGTTTATCATGATATGTAGCATGTGATTTCTCATAATTCTCGTCATTTTTCATATACGTCACTTTGTCCTAATTCATAATCAAATGAGTGTACGAATCAATAAATAAATGAATGTATCTTCGACGAAAGTGGATTGTCGTGATTTCGGGGCGAATGAATCTTCTCTTGTACCAGTCTTTCATGCCCTTACATTGACTTAGTGGTAATTATGGTGATTTCTTGTTTTAAGTATTAGTACTAACTGTCGAGGCTATAACAAGATTTAAATTTTTTTTATTTAGACAAGTAGATTTCTGTGGTTTCAATAGTTCATTTGCCTAAATGAACCAAAATATTATTGTTAAATCCGTAAAGCCTCTGTTATCTATAGGACCTCCGTGTTACTGCTTACACTTGAAAACAGGAATCACTGCAATTCCCGCGACTCAAAATAAGAAAACGAAAGACTGATGCAATGAAGATTTATTGGTTACCTAAGAACACGTCCCTAAATAAGTCCCAAAGTTGCATAATCCTTAAATCGAAATCCAATCAGTTATGTGCTAATTTTTACACATACTTAGTATCACTGCATAGGAGGTGGGTACTATTAAAATATAAACTAAAAATGGTCACGCTGGACAAACTTCACAATAGCAAAAATTCATAATGAACGGAAAAAAATATTGATCTGAATAAGGTCTTTTCATATCAGTTATCATCACATGTTATTTGTAAACCATTTTATTGTGTTTCAAAAACCTTTTCCCTCGTTCTGCATGTACGGTAGAACATGTAAGATTGTGACCATGGAATTACAAATTTGAACCTTCTTTCGCCTAATTAATATTCAATTCCTTAATATTCCATAATCAATCAGTGCGAACATCTCATTCGTATTTGTGAACAGTAAAGAATTTAATGACTCTCTGTTCATGATGAAGGTTTGAATTTCCAGGTTTGAAATAAAAACAAACAAACAACATTCTGTTATTAGTATAAAGGAATTGTGAAGATTGTTGCATTTCTGGTCTAAATCACAAACTCAGTCAGTCAGCCAGTGGTCTTGAGTGCTGTTAGAGGTATGAGGGCAGTTATCACTTCCCGGTTGCCCACACCGTGGAAGGGTTCTTCTAGAGTTACCTGAATAGGAAATCGGGTTAAAAGTGGTCTTAATGACCGCAGTGCTCGAGGGACAACTGCTTGACGTCGGTCAAACACACGACCTTTTTGCGTTAGCTCTATACTTGTTGGGACCTTACCACTGGAGACGGATATCCGTGAGATAAGGCGAGGTGTGCATTTTTAGGGTCGACCTTTTCTAACCTCAACCCTCCTTGTGGGAAGGCAACATCGCTGTCATGCTGGTTGTCTGAAGGAAACACCTTAGTGCTGTCACACCTCTGTACAGTCAGCAGTACGACTTAGTCTTCGGACCTTAGTTTGCTGCTTTTAGTCTTACCGCTCTTCAACCGACCTGCCTGGCATGATAGGACCTTGAAGAACGATTGTTCCAGCCAGTATAGCTCGATTGATTCATCACGATAGGCAAGCAAGACCACCACGTCAAGGTAGCAGTAACGGTCGGGAAAATCACGAACTGATCACAGCTAAACCACCGTTAAAAACCTGTAAGCACTAGACATCAGTCTTCTCCTAGACTATGAATGAGGGTTGCGTAGTATCGTGGATTAATTAAAGTTAGACATTAACACCACTGGATGCTAGCTCTAGATATTAAACATCCACTCTTGAGATCGAAAGTCCTGGGGTGCTGCCCACTGCTGAAGAGTCCCATATTAGGACAAAACGGCCGTCTCTGGCTACCAAGTGGTTGTCTAACTAAGATTAATTTGTGATTTGGGCTGTGAAAATATGTTGTCAGTTAACTTTTCACCCTATTCTTACATTTAACATACACTGAACTTTTTTTAATTCACATGATATAGCATTGTCATTTATAGCATGTCAATGATAGTACCAGGTTGAAAATTGTCAACTATGGTTAAATACCATCCACAAGTTTACATACGGCTCACTATTCGGACTTTGGGAAGTTTTCTTTCTAACTTTATTATGATTGTTCAATTTAAAGCGCAATTCTCACTACAAAGATGGGTCGTCGAAATTTTAAACAATGACTTGTAAAGTTATGAAATTAAAACAGATCCTGTATGCATTTATCACTAGCACATCTTTGGTCCTTTGTGTTTTTTCTTCATACAGCTACTCCATTAACTCCCACCAGACATTCATTAAGAAATCTTGGTGACGATTCAGAGAAAAGAAAACGACAACAAAAGGTATTCGACGACGAATTCAGAAATGCAAATGGAGAATCAATGCCATTGGATCCCAGGAAACCAAACACACAGTTTAATTATGGCATTCTTCCACATCCAGATGAATATAATTATTTAGCTGAAGCGGAAAAACAAAAACCATCTATAGATTTTGCATCAGAATTATCTTATGATAGTAGTCTTTATGGCAAAACTAGCCAAGGTTCCTGTCGAAAACAACCACCAATTAAGCATTATGATAAGTATAAGGATAAAAGTGAGCTAATACTTTTTGTCTACATACGTATTATTATTATTATTATTATTATTATTATTATTATTATTATTATTATTATGTTACTTATTTTGCGTTAGGTGATTGGAGCGAATAGGTGAGTAGCCTTGAAACATGGCTCTGTGAGAGTTGATACATGACAGTCAAAATAATCTGTATTAGCAAAGGAAACGATGAACTCCATGCTGTACAGAATGTTACTAATCTGTTATATAACATGACTAAGATATTCACGCCCTAAATGACATCATATAGGAAATAAACTCTTAGGCTACTGTTCTACCATACGCTGTAGATTATAGACAATCTATCTCTTTAGCTAGCTAGCTCAGATAATATAAGTTAGTTAATTTATGGTTTGTTATCACAGCTTACCTACCCTAGGCCTTTCGTCAACTTACTTCCATACTAGCCAACACACTATGGCTAGACTTGTCCTTCATAAAACTTGTTAAAACTGTAGTGCCGCGATTCGTCAATCGTTCGTTTCGATAACCGATATAATTCTAATCTTAACGGCGCGTAAAATCAGAAGACAAAGGATAGCAGCAACTACAGTTTATTGTCGAATAACTCAGGTCAGAAAGTTAGCAACACCTGAGCGAATAATAACGAGCGAGTGAACAGGCGAATAAGCGAAGGAACCGAACGAGGCGAAAGTGACATGCATGGGAGATGGCTGGGAAGCCAACTCAATTTAAGCAAGCGTTAATCAACATTTATAGTTGGACAAAAATGAGTGACAGACATATGATGAACAAGATACGAAGTGTACACATATATGCTCATATAAAAGTATAGTCAAGGTTAATAAGCAAATGATTAACAAGATCAAAATATGACTCATAATGGATAGGCGAATTGGCTTGGCCAGCAACTAGAATAAAGTATATGGGCTTAACAAATAAACTGATACTACAAAACCACAGCCACTTTATTATATCCATAGTGTATGCCATAGATTATTTCAGTTGTGCTTATTCGAGGGTTTTATCATGCATCCATTATGTTGGGAAATATTACAAAGGTTATTGATAATCAAGATGTGACTAAATATACCTGTACTACTAAAACTAATACAGGGACGGTAGTTTTATAAATATTGATACATCTTACTAATCCGTCTTAAACAGGTCATAATTCATATTTTGTGTTTATTTTTAAACTTCACTCAAAGTTAAAGTAGCGGTGAGAATCTTCTAAGTACCCCTCGCTATTAGGATTCCTTTGTTTCTGAAGCCATTTGAGTATGTTTATGGGATGTGTTAAAGATATACCCGAAGACTCAATTCAAAAGATTCATCTGTATAAACGGTACGTTGATAGCATCATAATCATAGAGGATAAACATGAAGATGTGGACCGCTTGTTAAAAGAACTCAACACAAGTTAAAAGCATATTTCTCTTACATGCGAATAATGGAAGAATAACCAACTTTCTTTTCTAGACATACTAATCAGTAGGAGAGATGATGGTTCCATCAAACGCTCTGTATGTAGAAGGACGACATGGACATGGCTATATCTTAATTTCCATAGTCACTGTCCAATTCATTACAAACGTGGATTAATAAAGGACTTATTCAATCGAATCAATCGTATTTGTACTAGAGATACTATTGAAGTAGAGACGAAGCTCTTAACTGATACGTCAATGAATAATGGTTATTCATTGAAGTTCATAAACCGCTGGAAGGGTTGCAATACAATTAGACCTATGAAGCTTCTGGCATCCAAAAAGTGATTTTACATTATGTTACCATTTAGGGGTGACTCCAATAGTCTCATGTTCAAACGGAGACTGAAATTAGCCATGAACAAGACATTATATGCATCCCAACTCGTCATTATTGAAAAGACAAGGTCTATGTTTCACGAAAAACCCAAACAGCACGTGAGCGATCGTGTTACACTCCATTGTGTCTATCATTTTACATGTATGTACGGAGACACGTACATACGTAGGAGCATGCGTGATCTGCAATTAAGGGTGGTGGAACACATACCCAAATAACTGTAGAAACAAATGAATTCCAATGGTCAAATAAGATCACAGGATAGATAAACATCTTCCTCCATTGCGAAACATTTGGTTGAGACTGGTCATAAGGTTGACATCAAGTCAACATTTCTAGTGTTGTACAAAAGCCTGGAAACTGGAACCCCCTTTTTGTGTTCAAAAACAATTTTTTCTTACCCTTAACCTATCCTGATAATGCTGATTTATTATTCAGTGTGGTTATCACATTGTTTGTGTGTACGTTATTATTTTTTTGTTACGACTTACCTTTAATCTGTATAGTTGACCTTTTAGTCTTAACGTGTATATGTGTGATCAGATTACTCGAGGTCATGGATGCGCACTGCTGAGAAGTCCCATAATAGGACGAAACGGCCGTCCAGTGCTTCCAGATTTTCCGCGGTGGTCTAGCTTCAATTGACTCATGATCTTAACTATAAAATATTTGAAATGTATTGAGCAAATATATCACAGAATTCATTTATTAACAGTTGTCGGTTTAGGATCATATCATTGTGTGTTTCAAAAAAATGTTGCTTACTTTTCATTATATCTGATACCCGACAATATACAAATTCGAACATTAATTCAAAGGTACTTGAACTCTAATACCATACATAATCACTTCAATCGCATATATCAAGGTTATTATTAGTATCTTGATTGAATAGTCATACCATAAACATTTACTCTTTTTTTGTAATTCAGTATATACAACACTAAATTCCGATGATAGATCAATAAACTCTCAAAGTCCAATGTAGATAAGTAAAACAATATAGTCATTTTAATCACAATTGATTGATCAATGGGTGGTGATCAAAGTCCTTCTTAGTGCTGATCGATCAAGTTGTAATGTGGCCACTAGTCTAGGTGGCTCGACACTGAGTGCACTATGTTGAGATAAGATGGTGGTTGGAGGTGGTCAACAGGAAACCCTGAACCCGGGTTTCGTGCTACTTGGCACTCGTCAGTAAGGCGTACTTGTAATCTTGAGGGGACTGATGCTCCCTGACAGATTCGATCCCGTGTCATTCAGCTTCACAATCAGAGATGTTACCACTGAGCTACTCGGGCCGCGACCGACCTCCTGTAGAAGGAATTGACACGCATGACATTGATCACCACCCAGTGATCAATCAATTGTGATTACATCTCAGTCCTACAGGAGGTTGGTCGCGGCCCGAGTAGCTCAGTGGTAGTCATTTTAATGTTTGACCATATCAGACTAAATTATATTCATCAAATGCGATTATCTGGTAAGGGTAATTATCGTAATGAGCTGTACACACTAGTAACCCGGATGGAGATAAAAATCACTGAAATGTCTATAGGAAGATGTGAGTTGAAGAATTAACCAAGTTAATTGTGATTCGGTTGATTATCAATGATTCTAGATGTAAATTACATTGTATCACAAACTGACTGTTTAGTACTTTTACTTCTAATGATTCTCAATCGATGATGATTCTCGTTAAAATACATATAAAAATGTTCAACAAATGATTCATTCTGACTAAGTATCCTTCAACTATATTCATTCATCCCATTATTGAAGTGACAACTTCTCAGACTTCAAAGTTGTGTTTCAGATTTTCATCCCACAGAAAGCTTCATTTATCTCAAAACTAAAAGTACGTCTTACTAACTACTACCATAGTGCCCTCCTGACTATTTTAACCACTCAAAATTAAAATATATTCACTATCAAGATGATGGATTGAAAATCAATTTTACTTACTTTTCTAAAGGAACTTAAGCAAAACATTTACGGATGATTTAGTCTTAAGACCACTCAACTTTCAATCATTTGGTTACAAGTTCTAACTATAATTCACCTATTTTAATTTGAACAATCGCAATTAGAATCACTACCACACACATATATGCACACGAAGAGCACTCAATTAGAAAGTTTTGCAAATAGATTCTGGATGGTTCATGCGAAATTAGAGTATGATTAGAAAACGAGTTCTGATAAGTCTATTTGGTAGGTCATTTGCTTATTGTTGGTCGAAGCCTAATGAGAGACAAACCTTTAACCGTTGAACTTTGATAACCAGTCCTACCATTAGTATTTGTAAATTTAAACCCATAGACATAATGTTCATCCACAAATGGGGTTCAAATTAGCTCTTCTTACTAATTATAGACATGTTAGACATATAGCTAGATCTAAGCACACACGCATACACAAAGATTGACTTTTTCATCATGGATAATTTTTGACCAAAGTACCAAACGAATTCTGTTGATTAATAGATGTTTGCCCTCGTGTGAAAAAACTGGTTACTTTATGTAATTCGAATTGATTATGCTTTGAGGAATATAATCAGACTGAACTAATTCGTATACTATAATTTCAAATAAATTAAGTCACCTTAGTCACAAATTGAGTAATTACTTATTAATATCAGAAGATTTTTTGTTGATATTATAGTAATAGTAATAGGGAGAGACTGATAGCTCCTGGGTTCGGATCTCGCGAGGCGAGATCGTGGATGCGCACTGCTGAGGAGTCTCACAATAGGACGAAACAGCCGTCCAGTGCTTCTAGGTTTTCCATGCTGGTCTAGCTTCAGTTGACTCATGATTTCAACTATAAAATTACTGAAATCTCCACAAAAGCCCCTTCTGATCATACATAATTGATCAAGGATAAAATCAAATGACTTCAACTTACCAATTAATAATTACTTCGATATTTTCATAGTAAAAATATCGAGTAGAAGCGGGAGCCAATTAGAATTGAAGGGATTAAATTTAAAGTTTTTATGTAAATTTCAATGATGAATGGTTTTTATCTTTTCTTTTCCACAAAAAAATCCACCATAGAAACATCACTATGCAGTGCCTAGAACACAATTGATTGATCACTGGGTGGTGATCAATCTCATGGCTGTCAGGTCCTTCTTAGTGCTGATCGAACGCTATCGATCGAGTTGCAATGTGACCACCAGTCTAGGTGGCTCGACACTGCTTGCACTATGTATATTGAGGTAAGATGGTGGTTGGAGGTGGTCAACAGGAAACCCTGAACCCGGGTTTCGTGCTACTTGGCACTCGTCAGCAAGGTGTACCTGTAATCCTGAGGGAACTGATGCTCCCTGGCGGATTCGATCCCGCGACCTGACAGGCATGAGATTGATCACCACCCAGTGATCAGTCAATTGTGATTACATCTCAGTCCTACAAGAGGTTGGTCGCGGCCCGAATAGCTCAGTGGTAACGTCTCTCACTGTGAAGCTGAGTGACGCGGGATCGAATCCGCCAGGGAGCATCAGTTCCCTCAGGATTACAGGTACACCTTGCTGACGAGTGCCAAGTAGCACGAAACCCGGGTCCAGGGTTTCCTGTTGACCACCTCCAACCACCATCTTACCTCAGTGCTTAGAACAATTAAACTTGTTATGAATTAATAAAAAATAAAGGACGTATGCCAATTTATTATAGGCTTATACTTGGCATTTTATCACGTGATTTATCCACCACTCGGAATACGACTACTCCAATTTTTACACTGTGCCGAATCAATGACGTTCGACCGGTATGAGCAGCCTAGCGTCCTTATTGATCCCTTGTCCGCCTAGTCCTTCCAAAATCACCAATAACAGCTTCTGTTATTCGGATCATTTATTTCAAGCATTCTCTGTTAATATACCAGAAAGACAGATAGACGGCATCACATCATAAAATAGAAAATAATATTTGTACAGGATCAAGCCAAATGTGGCTGGGAGCGTGGGATACAGTAATCAATAAACGGAATATAATTTAGGGACAGTAAATCGTATAATAATAATCCATAGGTCAAACTGAAGCCAATAATAAGATGAACATATATAGATTAAATCTAATTACTGAATAGTTAAACAATAAGAATATATATAAAATAATAGTCCATTAATAGGTCCTGGGAGTTACCCGTACTTATGTCTTCACTAGGATATAACAAATAATGGTTGTATCAGATACATATTTTTTTTGTAAAGGTTTTACCAAACGCAAGAATCAATTAGGTTCCTTCTTTTGTTTCTAATATACAATTGATTCACTAAATGAATAATAGATAAGTTGATGAACTAGGAGTAGTGGAAAAGAAAATGAATTTTCAGAATGACTTCTTCATATTCATTTGTTAACAATGATGATTCTTTAATAATTTCATTAGTGAAGATTTTGTAGGAAATAATGAGTTTTGATGGAGTTTTGTTCTCTAAGTTGGATGGTTTGATCGTGGAGCTTTCATCATCCTTCTGAACGAAATCATCAGAAATTCAAACGCTTCACGTCTATCCAAAGTTTGTGTTGATGATATCGTTCAGAAGGATGATGAAAGCTCCACGACCAAACCATCTACCTCAGAGAACAAAACTTCATCAAAATCATCCATATGAGTTACAAATCTTCTCCACCACCTCAAAATAATGAATTTTTTTAAAAACTATTTCTGACTATAAGAACGATTTGAACAGTAACTTCTAGTATTAATAAACCCATACTTAGAATAATGATGTTATCTTACGAAATCTATAGAATATTAAGATCGGAAAACTGTTAATAAGCTTTGAAAAACCAACAGACCTTCTAAAAACAATCAAACAAATTTATTTCGAAATACTTTTGATAAATACAAACTTTTTGCTCATTGACTAAAAAGTCACTTCAAAACCAAGGAGCCAATTGAACAATCGTTCAAGCTCCTTCCTATACTATGGTTTTATCTCGCTTACTAATAAGTATATGATTTTTATATAGTTGAGATCATGAGTCAATTGAAGCTAGACCACGATGAAAAACCTGGAAGCACTGGACAGCCATTTCGTCCTATTATGGGATTCCTCAGTGGTCTATCGGTTAACTGCTCTGGCGCGATACTGGTAGGTCTTGGGTTCGAATCTCACGAGGCGGGATCGTGAATGTGCACTGCTGAAGAGTCCCACAATAGGACGAAATGGCCGTCCACTGCTTCCAGGTTTCTCATGCTGGTCTAGCTTCAATTGACTCATGATCTCAACTATATAAAATTAATAAAGTCTCCACAAAACCCCTTTCTGATAAGTATATGATTACTATTTTATCATGGTGTTATGTTTGGAAGGATTCGTACAGTTTGAAAATAATTCTACACATTACGAGACTAACATCTTAAATTTAATCTTGTAAGTGAATGTGAACGATATATAAGTTGCGAACTAAGATGAAACAATTTTTCAGTGTTCTTTGCTTTTTCATTTCATCTTACGTCAGTATTAGTTTATGATAAGCAAAGTATTGCCATAATTCCTTTACTCTTTGAGTGTTATTTCCAAGTACATATTGAGTTGAGAGTTATGGATAAGGCGGGACTTATCCTTCTTTGTATATTTTAAACATAGAATCTGATAAACCACATCGTCATCCTCCGCCACCTCAACCTATTGGTCATGACCAAACAAAACGTTTAGACGATAAACCAAGCCCAAAACTAGACAGAAGATCACGTCATGGAATAGTTTCATGTAAGTAATTTTTTATTACCTTGATATTATTACAAACCAAAATATTATTTTATTTATTTTTTTTTGGAAAAAAAGCCTACGAGGTTCCAATTGTATTTTACTGATGGGTACACGTATTCATATCTAAAACACAAGTATATTACTATGTCATACGAATTGATGAACTCGTGCCTGAATCTTACAGATACTTTTTCATTGCTATTAATCCCCCAAATTCTCTGGTACGGCCGAGAGTGGGGAGAGTACACTCTCCCTCTCGAAATGCTCTCACATAGCCACGCGTACATAGCCACTGCTAAGGAAGTCCTACTCACTGCCTTCTCGTACCACGGGTGTTGTTTACGACATTGAGAGGACGAAAAGCGAATGTCCGGAGCTTTAAACGGGTTGGTGGACACGGAAAGTCCATCTAGTGGAGTTGGAAAACCCTCATTCCAAACCAATGGTGCACATGGGCTGACTCCAGTATCCTAATGGAACAAATGGTTTATGAACCTAGTGTCGGTCACCTGCTACCATTGGACTGCATCTCCTTACGTTGCTCCACTGCCTTGTGGATTAGACCTTCAGGTCAAAGGCTCCGGGTGTGGCCTCCTAAGAAAACCACGTGTTTCGGTTTGGGCACCTGGTCAGTATCACTGCCCTCACACAAATCGAATGAGATTTGTGAGGCGCATATATACCTGGTGCTTCCTTGTACCAATATTTATGTTTCTAAATAAATAAGTAAATAAACATTGGTATTGTAAGTTATATTTGAATTTTGAAAGTATGAAAATGTATTTTTATTCAGTCATTACATTCTGTGTATTGGTTTAAGTTTTAAACGAGGTTAATTATTATTGTAATTTGGCCCTAAGTATCCGGAATACTGTCAAGTCATAGAATTCACGTTCAGGCTCTCTTTTCCTAATACATTCAAATAGTTCAGTAACATGTGGTTTACCCGTAAACCGATTTTATATGGGTGACTATGTGATTTATATGTCGAGTTGCAGACACATTGTTGTGGTGTTCAGTGTCCAGAATTTGATACTGATACACGGTATGCTATGCACTAACCCCCCCCCCCAAACTGACAGTTTGAGCGAGAACACAAGAGTGAGCCAGAAAGTGTATTGGACTACCGAATGAAATGCACAAATACTCATTCATATATATACCATTCTATCCTTAGGAAATTGATGCATTGACCCAATTAGGTTCATTTGACCTTTATTTGACTTCTGATTGCCATCGATTGACCTTTTGCTACTTCTGATTGGCTCTCCATATCATCTCTCCCTCCTGGAACAAAAGTCTTACTCCTTGCATTTAACTGGTGTTGAGGGAACTGTAGTCTTCTTGATGATTTTCTTGGGATCTGGAGATCACTTCTTCCGCTCTGATCCTGATGATCCGAACTGACTGTATCTAGCTGCAGGGTTGAGCTAGGAGGTTCTATATTTGAAATTAATTATCTGTCACGGATGTGGTTTAGATGGTGAGATTTAGGAAACTGATGTTCAATTTTCTTTGCCTAGAGTTTATAATATCGTTTCCCTCTTTGTGAAAACACGCTATCAAATGTAGTTCGAATCTTCTTTTCGAACACTGACTAAGCAGGGGGGCGACCACCTTAGATGAGGCTGGATTCGGGGTTATTGCTGGTAATTTTCTCGGTCGTGCACTCCCTTTATGGTCACTTTGAAAATCACAAGAAAATTTCTGTCGCCATTTATGCATTATATGAGGATAGGAAGATACTTAGTTGCAAATATGATTGGATGACTGATCGGTCTTCTTTGAATCTGCATTACGAATAAGATCAAATGGATAATCAAACATTTTCAATTCTTTGGTCCAGTCAAGACCTAATACACGGAAGGATTCACCAGTAACATAGCATTTAGATTTGACTGTTTAATCACTAAATTTGACAATACATTTTACAATTTCAGAAATATTGATTGGGATGCTCAATACATTTTTTGTACAATCATTTTTAGGTTGAATGCTTGGCCGATCAAGTTCGTGCCAAGTTTTACGAGAAATCACAATTGTCGTCGGGATATAACAGCCATTGAAAACATTGAGACACTGAGAGGCCGTGTCATCCTAGTGTGGGACTCCCCAACGTTACGCACCTGCGATCCCGCACGTAGGATTCGAACCCATGACTTTTGGTCTCGATCGCGAACCCTTAACCTGCAGACCACTGAGCCGGCATCTAACGGTGTTCATTGAAATTTCGTTGAAATGAGACAGTTCCGATTTTTGTTTATGTTATCTTCGTTTCGATTTTTGTCCACTGTTATAGTTTTCGATACAACTAGTACTGTCATATAGTCCATAGTAATGTTTGGTGAATGATCATTAGTTCTGTTTAAATTAACCAAGGTTTCTGGTTGTTTGAACGCGGTATTGTTATTAAAACAGGAAATAGGCTGCATGACCTATCATTAAAACGGAAGAGCATGTTCAGCATTCAGTTGATTAATGAAAGACCATATATACCGATGATTATAATTATGAGATACATGAAATGATTAAATCTAAGAACTATTTTAAGAGTTAGCACTCTATAAGGAAATCCCAATTCTCAGAGCTTAAAAATAATTTTCTAATTTGATATTTTTTTAGGTGATGAAAATTATTATGTAAATGTACCTGGTTCAGGTCCACCAGGTGTTCTTCCACCGTACAATGGACACAAGAGATCTCTGCAAGATTTAAGTGAACGCTCCGGCCCTCATAGTGCTTATGATCCTAGATTGGGCGATACAATTAATCAACCAAGCAAACCTAGAACTCGTGATAAAATATCCGATCAAGTACCTGATTATTATGATCAGTATACATCAAATGAAAGTGATTATGATGATTCAGGGGAATCGGATGAAGAACTTAAACCACCAGCATTGCGTACAATAACTCAGACAAGGAGAAGATCTGAACCAGAACCGTCCAGTATGTGAATTTTTAGTTACACAATTACTTATATGAAATTTTTTTTGGTTATTTATGGAACTCACTAGCGTCAGATTTTAAAAATTATTCTATAACTATTTGAAAAAAATAACATTCACTCAACCATAATCAATGTAGACTCTGATACATATTTGATTTGGCTCAATCTGCTAAACCATACTAACACAAGGAGTTGACTTTCAGTTGAATAAAAAAGAAGTTGAAATATTCTTAGAATCATTGATGTTGAGACTAACTGATCATAAAAGGTATGATGTGAAAAGACAGAGTAGGATATTACTTATGAAAGAATATTGGGACTCAAAATCTAAAAGGAGATAAAGAGTAAATATAATTGCGCTACGGTGACTGATTTTAAGCCATATCATCCAATGTCCTCAACTACTGGTTGCAGTCAACTTGAAGACTTTAAACTGGTAATCCGATTTCATTTATACGGCCCAAACTATCAGCTAGTAAATTATCGACTGTAGCATAAATAATGCCCATTAAAAATATCATAAAGGTGAACTAAGAATTGAAAATACGCCATATTTTTGTTTATATAGCTACACAGTTACAATAATACATTAACATCAAATTGAATAATAGACTGGTTACATTAGATCATGTGTTATACATTATTCTGACCAGATTGAAAACCAGATAACATGGGTTAGAATATAAAAGTTTATTAACATAGTGTGAAATCCAATGCAAGATTCAATGAGAGGAAGGAATCCAAAACATTTTATTTAGTGTCTAGTTAACTGTCTATTTTCTCTCATTAGCCAATCACAGTTCGTCGTTGGATAGAATTTATTAGATGTCCTAGGGTAAAAAAATACGATTTTTAAGAAAATATCAGTTATAAGCAAAGATGGATAGTGACTAGCAGTGGAATCCAGCTTGATGCTCGTTTCGTCTTATTTGGGACTCGTCAGCTAGATGTACCTGCATCTCAGATTTGATGTTCACTTTGGGTTCGAGTCCTGGAGTGAACATCAAATCTGAGATGCAGGTACATCTAGCTGACGAGTCCCAAATAGGACGAAACGCGAGCCGTGGATTCCACTGCTAGCCACTATCCATCTTTGCTTATAATGCTTGTGAATTAAGGCTATATCGAGACAATACGCACAGTATGCACATAAGCCAATAAGAGACTGATCAATTTCAGTCCTAAACATTAATGGGAAGATTCAAACAAACAATACCAAGTGAATTTTAAAAAATGGATGGAGGCACATTTTACTGAGGAGTTTTAAATCGAATGAAACGTCCGTCTTGGATTTCATTATTGGCCACTAACTATAGTCACGACATGCTATAAAATGTGGGATCAACTTAGGCAGCTTAACAAAAACTAATTGAAGTTAGTCCTGAGTGTTAAAAATGGGAAAAAAATACGAACCAATGGGTTGAACAACCGTATCTGAAATTTGTGTATCTAAATCGGACGATCGTGGAACGTGAAATTAACTGATTGCTTGAGACATATCCCAATAATTAGAAGGGTGTTTCTCAAAATATTGAGTTTTGTGGATTTGATAGTAAATTTAAACAGTTTGGTGAATTATCAACTTCATGAGTTAAGATATCTTAAAGGCAAATTTAGTTAACTATGGAAAAGTCATTGCTACAGCCTCCAACTACACTCTTTACTTGTCAATATCTTCTAAGATTTGGTTACTCATTTATTTATTTACCAAATTTATCTAAATACTGATGAAGAATTTGATCAGACTAAATGATACATAATGTTACCTATCAAATGAATGTTATGTAAGATCTAATCTAAGCTTCTGTATCTGATCGTAAATGTTTTGATAAGATGGTGGTTGGAGGTGGTCAACAGGAAACCCTGAACGCGGTTTTCGTGCTACTTGGCGCTCGTCAGCAAAGTGTACCTGTTGACCACCTCCAACCACCATCTTATCTCAACATAGTGCACGCAGTGTCGAGCCACCTAGACTAGTGGTCACATTGCAACGTGATCGATAGCATTCGACCACCACTAAGAAGGACTTGATACGCATGACGTTGATCACCACCCAGTGATCAATCACTTGTGATTACATCTCAGTCCTAAAGGAGGTCGGTCGCGGCCCGAGTAGCTCAGTGGTAACGTCTCTGATTGTGAAGCTGAGTGACACGGGATCGAATCTGTCAGGGAGCATCAGTCCCCTCAAGATTACAAGTACGCCTTACTGACGAGTGCCAAGTAGCACGAAACCCGGGTTCAGGGTTTCCTGTTGACCACCTCCAACCACCATGTTATCTCAACATAGTGCACTCAGTGTCGAGCCACCTAGACTAGTGACCACATTGCAACTTGATTGATAGCATTCGATCAGCATTAAGAAGGGCGTGAATGTTTTGTTTTGAGACTAGATGGTCATAAAAAGTACTTCGTTCACAAAACATGAGTATCAAAGCAGAAATGTCCTGACATTTTGACCTTTTTCTAAATTAAAGTGCTAATATTAACTAAATTTATCAAGTACTTAATTATTTTTGTTTTTTTTATATTCACAAATACCCAATGAAGATAATTATCCACCAGTACAATTAAGACGACCATCAAAAGGACAAAAAACTGGACAATCAATTACATCAATTCATGATAGTCTTATCAGTCCTGAAGGTATGTCAATTCCTTCTACACCGGGTTATGAAAATATTTACGGTATTTATTATGATGATAAAACAGGTAAATACGTGAAAGGATTAGATCATGATCATTCAAATGGAATGTCACAAGAACGTATATCACGACCACGTTCTAAGCATACAACTGCAACAAGTCGAAGTTCTGGTTATTACGGTATTAATGGTAAGTAATTATGGAATCAAATTAATGGACTGATCAAATTTTTAATTAAAAGAAGAGTTTTCACTGTCTGGACTAAAATATTAAAAGTAAGTAGATAGTGTTGAGAGTCCATAAACGTCTCTCGACAAAGTCTAGAAGTCCAAGCTGAAAATATTTCATCCAATCATCAGTGAACAGAAGCTACGCAGAAACACAGGAAAAGATTATTTGTCGCGTTTGGATTGTATAATTATTTATGTTGTTACCATATTCAGTATGCTTCGAGAAGGAGGGAAAGGTCATCTGGAAACCCCAAAAACACATCCGACTGTCCGTACATAGATTAATCTTGTTATAAAACCTTTACTCATATTTATCATCTTTTTTCTGTTGATCAAGTTAAAGTGTAGTAATAGTTTTCGGTTCTAGGATGTGGCTGGGAGGTCAATAACAAGCATTCAACTAGAAAACTTATCAAAGAGAATGTGAGAGAGAGAGAGTACAAACACACTAAAATTCATTTATCAATTACAGCTTCATGCACATGGCTTTTAGCTATAATGTTTATTTGTGACAGTCATGTATACCGAAGTATGTTAAATTGAATTCGAACCAACAACCAGTTGGTTGAAAGCTAAGCTCTCTTGCGTTTGAACAATCTCCAAGCAAGTAATTGAATGTTAGACCAGCGTTTGGTTCTATTTTTAGAGGTAGTTACTATTGTACACTTGTTACATGTGGATTAATGAACCATTTCACTTTAGACCTAATGAATCAAAGAATGGTTCAAGGTAAAAAGTGAAACCCATTTAGAAAACTACTTTTACTATCCATTAAAACATACTGTGTAGCCTGACAACAGAATGTTCTCCATTAAAAACTCTACTTTTTCGGTTGACGTTCTTTTTTGTAATAATTTTTGTGTAAATTATTATATATATGCTATTTGACTGAATATTTTAGTGTTAAAGGATACAAGTAAGTTGTGGTTGATATTTTAACGATCATCATAACATCAGTTCATTGTTTTACGAAGATTGTAGACTTTTCATAGTTTAAATCACGAACAGATCTTAGACAAACTACTAATGAAAATCAAAGAGAACGAAATGACTATTTCACTCTAGTATGTGACTCGTCAGCGGCGTATATCCATGACTAGTTTCAAATCGTAACTCCTGGAGTTCCAATAAGGCTATGACCAGTGCAGTTAAACTATATCAAGTGTGAGACAGTTATCCACATCGGGTAATGGATGAGGCTTGAGCATTATCGAACTGATGTACGTACGTACGAAGTTCTACGTTGTGACTGACAGACTGACTAAATTGAAGCTAGACACACAAACCGTTGGATTATGAGTTAATGTTCTGCAAGTTAATTGTTCACATGTGAGATCGATGATTACGAGTTCAATTGCTCATGGTAAGATTGTGAATGTGAGTTACTGATGAGTTTCATAATAGGATGAAACAACTGTCTAATGCTTTTAGGTTTCTATAGTGATCTAAATGAGATCAGTTCGTGATTTAAAAGCTATGGAATATATCATCATATTATTAAAAGTTGTTCATCATTCATGAGTCTTTCCCCCTTTTAATAATTAACTTCTATTCTAATACTTGATGTAATTTCAGTTGCATCTAACATATTCATACACAAATATCTTAAATGAGGGAAAGAAATTAGATAAGCTTCACTGGAAAGCTTTGTGTTTGAATTCATGTTGAGTTATGTGTCCCAAAATAAAGATGAAACAATTGTTCAATGATATATTTTTCAAATGATTTACTTTTAGGTAAAAATTATTTCTTTAGCGTAATCTGTTATGAAGTCTGACATTAACACCGTTGAATACCGGCTCAGTGGTCTAGAGATTAAGTGCTCCCGTGCGAGACCGATAGGTCATGGGTTCGAGTCTCGCGAGGCGGGATCGTGGATGCGCACTGCTGAGGAGTTTCACAATAGGACGAAACGGCCCTCCAGTGCCTCCAGGTTTTCCATGGTGGTCCAGGTGGTTCTCTTAGGGGCCACACCCGGAGCCTTTGACCTACAGGTCTGATCCACAAGGCAGTGGAGCATCGTAAGGTGATACAGCCCTATGGTAGCCGGTAACCAACGATTGATTCATACGCCATTTGTTCCCTTAGGATATTGGAGCCCATGTGCACCATTAGTTTGAAATGAGGGTTTTCCAACTCCCCTAGGTGGACACTTCACATCCACCAACTCGGTTAAAGCTCCTGCCGGACATTCGCTTTTCGTCTTCTCAATTTCGTAAGCAACAGTAATGCCACGAGAAGGCAGTGAGTAGGACTTCCTTAGCAGTGGCTATATAGGCGTGGCTATGTGAGAGCATTTCGAGAGGGAGAGTGTACTCCCCCCACTCTCGGCCGTACCAGGGCATTCGGGGGCTACCAGAGCATTTCGAATAGTAAAAAATGCAAATCAAGATATACTGTGTTCTCTTTGTCTTTTTATGTGACACTTTCACAGTATGCATTCATGAAACGATTAAGCATTGAACCCATTATCTTTAGATCTCGCAGCTAGCTTTCAACTTCAGACCATACTAAATTTATGGGATTGTGTGACCATCATCCATTCTCAATGATAATATATCCTTTCATGCCCGACATAATCAAATTCTTCTGGTGATAATCATTTGCTAAAACTCTTCTAACAACTTCTTTTAAAGTTTCTCACCAATAAACATAGAATTGAATTTTTACTGAAAGACTGGTTTGAGAGTTTGGTATACTTTATAATCTTGTATTTCTTTAACTCACTTCAATTAGACGTGAATGAAAATTTAAGGGTTTTAAGTTAACTAGATACTATGGGACTTATCTTTTCAAAAAAAAGTGGAACATATCACCCTAACTTTTCTTCGTTTATCATTAATCAATCTGTTTCTGTATGGAGACTTGTAACAGGTTTTTGCTTATTTGAAATTCATTTCTAATATAACTTGTATAGCATTCATGTAACCAACATACATTTTCATCAGTTTGTATGAAGAAAATAAACATACATCAGACGTTTTTGTTGCTAACCAAAATTATAAGGAAAGATGGATAGCGGGTAGCAGTGGAATCCAGGATGCGTGTTTCGTCCTATTTGGGACTCGTCAGTTGGATGTACCTGCATCTCAGAGTTGGTGAACACTGGGACTCAAACTCAGTACCGTTCGCTCTATCTTTGCTTACCATGCTTTTGAATTTAGGCTATATCGAGGCAATACGCACAGTATGCACATATGCCAGTATGAGACTGATCAATTGCAGTCTAAAACATCAATTGGAAGAGTCAAACAAATAATACCAAGTGAATTTAAATAACTGTTGCTATATTTTGTCATGAACAATTAAGTTTAATTAACTGAATTCAGAATATTGAAGCCACTACACTCAGGATCTTTGATGTCAGTATGATTGAATTTCATTATTATGGTAAGCAGAGATGGATAGTGACTAACAGTGGAATCCAGTTTGACGCGCGTTTCGTCCTATTTGGGACTCGTCAGCTGGATGTACCTGCATCTCAGAGTTGATGTTCACCCTGGGACTCGAACCCAGTACCTTCGCTTCAAACGCCATCGCGTTATCCACTCGACCACTGAGTCCTATCAGTACTGACGAGTACCAGTAACCAGACTCAGGGATTTATTTATTTTGACTACAATAGTTCAGTAAATAATACTGTATTGTTAGTTACGAAGTGACTTAATCATACAGCTCTACCTCTTGAAGACCAGATTTCATCATCTACTAAGTAAACAATGAGAAACTTACATAAAGTACTTATTTATTAATTAGGATGAAGTTTTGATTGAAAGGAAGAATTTTCTTTGAAAATTAAGTATTCCACTTGATTATTCTGTCATGATAGTTGATTATTCATTGACAGCGTAAGATCTGGTACAAAATTGTCCATCATTTTAAGTTGACATGCCTCATATCATGCAGTAAGACGACCAGAGGAGACAGTATTATCAGATGCATCCATAAGAGTCTATACTTTCCAATTCTTGATGTTAATTAGTCAGTATCATCATGGATGATAGGAAAAAACAAACACGTACGAATAAAATTCACACCTGTTGCATAAACCATTGACCTTCTCTACTCAGTAGCTTAGTGGATAACGTGTTAAAGCTTGAAACGAAAACAACCGGATTAAAGTTCCAATCTGAATACCAACACTGGGATGCAACTACACTAAATGACATGTTTCGAACAGAACGAAACGAGCATTCTGGATTCCACTGCAATTCACTATCCAACTCTAATAAAAGTAGTAATTGTAGTATAAGGTTAAATGTAGAAAGGGTATTTTGAAAGAAGCTAATGAAAATAAAGAATGAACACTAAGGAATTGTTTTAATGTGCCGTGTCCAATAATGATACTGACGTGCAATTTTCATATATACCTATATCCCTTAGAAAATTAAGTCACCAGCGGTGTATATTTTCTTCCCTAAAAATTCAAGCAACTTTTTGACTGATTTGGCTGTTTTTTGATAGACTCAGTGTATAACCTTTGCCTCTTAAAAAGTAGGTCTAGCATCATGAATGAAATTAGACTCAAGATTTAAAAAACATCACTGATGTATCCAAGTCCAATACTGCAATTGTCATAGATTGTAAATATCTTACGATTTCCAACTTGATATTCTACAACTGCCAACCTAGTTCAAACTAATAACCAGTAATTCCAAGAACCGATACCATATGTTCCTTTGCCAACCACTAACTTTGTTCCAACTTAATCTTAAGTCAGTCAACCCTATGTATTTGGTTATATATGATAAATGCTTCCACTATATAAGGCATTTGATGTTTACATTTTCCTATCTCAAGCTATACATTTCACCTTAACATAATTCACCTAATGGTTCCATTACATGGGAGAAACGGTTTGTATGTCTACCAGCTTTATATATCTTCCAGTTTTAGGAGTCATGTTTATATGTACTATACTTGTGAAAGTTTGCTAAAAATTATCAGAACATTGAACAACTTCATTAGTTGATAGTATTTAAGTGAATCAAATAAACACTTTTTATAATCGTATATATTTTTCCTAAGGTTCAAAACACAGTTTAATAATCAGTACAAAACGTCGAACACTAAGCGGTTTAACTGGTACCCATCCATCAAAACATCGTTCCAGTTCAATGAATACTTTATGGTTCGGTGATCATCCTGTACCATCGGAACGTACACTCTCTCCAGCTACACCAGTTAGATTATCAAATATACAAATACAAGCTCAAGCAGAACTTGAACGTCGACATAGATCATCTTCACATGGGCATAGTTTAGATAGAAAATCTGTATATAGCACAGGAATGACAGAAAGTCATTTGTCCAAAGGTTTAAGTGATTATCATCAAGGTTATGAAGGAATTGGTTATTCATATGATAATCGAGGAAGATTAATACATGGTGGTGCATGTTTACCTGAACGTTCAGCTAGTCGTAAACGTCGATTATTAGATGGTCATGAAAGTTTATCAAGAGTATGGATACCACAAAGTGGTGAACAGTATTCAGTTAAACAAATATCTGATAGAACAGCTAGTTCTCTAACGAGTAAGTTCATATTTCCGGTATGTATATATTCATAACATGATTGACATGGCAATTAGCTTAACAGTAGTGCCGATAAATATTCGATACTTATTATCTGGTCAAACAGTAACTCTTAAGAAATATAGAATTTGGCACATATACACATAAATCCAGGTTACCACGCCACATCAGCACAGCGAAATGAATACTAGAGTAGTAGAAATAGTATTAGTATCAGTATTAGATGTAAACAAGAATGACTTCATAGAATAAAAAGTCTAGCGCTATTCTAAAACTCAAAATCTAAGATAAAAATGTGAATGCTTCTTTATTATTGGGACATATTCTGGGTCGTTTAATCCAACGTCTTCAACCATTGGTGGGTTGCACAAACCAACATGGCTCTATCTCACAGTCAATGGTTTCATGGACCTTTTTCTATATCATTAAACTTTACACATTAAGATAGTTGATCCCTTGGCATACTTGATCCATGTCCCAACCATCTTCTAGATAACAGACAATTGTTCCATCATTATATCAGTCAAATTTCTAGTGGTTAGTTTTAATCTGTTAAATTATTTGAGTCAAGAGTGAAAATAGTCAAATTTCATTAAGGTCATTGATTAGTGGTTACAAAATTGAAAAATATAGACTTTTCAATTTTGAATCATTTCACTATTGTTGTCATCAATATAGGAGGATTTGTCAAGACTGTAAGATGTTCATAGTTTAAATTACGAATTGCATTCAGTTAGATCGCTATAGAAACCTAGAATTACTGGGCAGCTGTTCCATCTTAGTATAAAGCTCATCAGTAATGTTTATTCACAATTCTAACATGAGAAATCTAACCCAGGATAATCGATTTCACATGTGAACAATTAAGTTGCAGAACACTGGCTCATAATACAACTGTTTATGTGTCTAGTTTCAATTAATTGACGATAATGCTCAAGCTTCATCCATTACCTGATGAAGATAACTGTCTAGCACTTGATATGGTTGAACTCCACTGGTCACGGCTCCTCACTGATGACTAAGTAAGAGTAATTATCTGGTAATCTTCAATGATTATGATGGAATAGATTTCATAATCGTACTCATTGTGAGTGTGTTCTGTAATGAAATGATTTTAAAAAATATGTAACATTGGCCCGAATAGCTCAGTGGTAATGTCTCTGATTGTGAAGCTGAGTAACACGGGATCGAATCTGTCAGGGAGCACCAGTTCCCTTAAGATTACAGGTACACCTTACTGACGAGTGCCAAGTAGCACGAAACCCAGGTCCAGGGTTTCCTGTTGACCACCTCCAACCACCATCTTATCGTAATATTGGATACTAATCTTTCTATTAAACTTTTGAACTAAGCGGATAAATTTGTTATTTATACATAACTGTCTACCTTATGTATGTATATGAATACCAAATATGTACGATCTCTTGTGTTTTTTTCAATTCGGATTCCCTATTCGGGTGATTTTTGATAAACTAAATGTAAGAAAATCATCTATACAAAAAGTTTAGGCAAGGAAGTTAGGATTCAGAAACTTCTGAGTAAAAACTATCTCAAAGTTACTGACATTTGACCAGAGTACTAGCCCGACTATCACCATATACTACTTATGTGGATATCAATAACCCACACCACAGTAGTAGTGTTGTGAACAGAACACTGGTTGGGGACAATCGAATGCATTTAAGCAGAGATTACAGACTATCTCAATAAATTCTGATTACCAAACAATGAACAGTCAATTTGCAAATTAACAACCAATAGTTTCAATCTTCACTGTTTCTTCTCTTATTCCATTGCTCATGCATTTTCCAAACGATTGCGCTTCATTTCAGTTCTTTGCTCATCGGTCTTCTGCCAAAATACATTCTATGTCTGACCCACACCATATACTACTTATATAGATATAAGTAGACAACACCACAGTCGTAGTTGTTGTTGTTGTAGTTCAGAAAAATACACGAGTTAAAATAATAGAAGAAGAAGAAATGAACGATGAAATGTGATATGATGAGTCATTTGAAGAAATATAACTTCTATGAACTTCCAGGGTAGTTTCATTAATTATATCGGAGATAAGATAAGTATAGTGCTACAAGTCAAAGGAATCTTGAAAGCGATAGGATTTATATAAAATGAAAATTGACGTCTTCAGTTTGCGTAGTTATTGGACAGTAATCGTATATCTATGTATTAGGATGCACAGTTGCCTATATATCTATATCCAAAGTCAATTATATCTATAATCTCTTATTTCAAGGTGCTTTTTTCGTTTCTTTTCAATGTTTCAATGTTTGTCGTAACTCTAACAGATGAACTTTTGTTTGAACTGAAGTTGAAGTTTTCTCTATACTAATTCTGATTACATGATTTATCGAAAAAATTTTAAACTATTTATTCTTTCATACTTGAAAGCGTGAGTCAATTGAAGCTAGACGACCAGGGAAAACCTGGAAGCACTGGATGGCCGTTTCGTCTTATTGTGGGACTCCTCAGCAGTGCGCATTCACGACCTTACCTCGCGAGATTCGAACTCATTCTTCCATAACTGTAAAACCTATGTACATCAGTAGTGTACACTCAAGGTTCTTCAGCTCCACTTTGATAAAATTCCCCATATCTACCGAACCGGTTTAATTACTAGATATCTTCCTATGTCGGTTTAACTTTTTTCGGAATACCATCACTGAGACAATGTGTGTAGAAATGTTTGTAGGAAAAATTTTAATTGATGATGTTACATAGTCTGTAGATTCTTACTGGACAATTTATGCTGTTTCTTTTAACTAGTCAGTTTAAATCAACCAATCAACCAAATATACAGAAATAGTTTTGCTTCTTCCAGTTAATAATCATTCAAAGTTTCAAACCAGGTCTTGTCATCTGAGGTTCTTGTAGCTCAATGAGACATAACGTATGGAGAAGATATTAATCATTGAGGTAAGATGGTGGTTGGAGGTGGTCAACAGGAAATCCTGGACCCGGGTTTCGTGCTACTTGGCACTCGTCAGTAAGGTGTACCTGTAATCTTAAGGGAACTGATGCTCCCTGGCGGATAGCATTCGATAGCATTCGATCAACACTAAGATGGACTTGACAGGCATGACATTGATCACCACTCAGTGATCAATCAATTGTGAAGATACAAATCATGTTTATTGTTACTTTGACTGTTACCAGTACAAATCCATTCTCATTATCTTACAAATATACCAAGTTATATGATCACTGTGTTAAATAATGTTCTAAAATATATACCATATCATTTAACAACTCAGAGGAGTCCTAAACAAGGATGAAATGTCCATCCACTGCTTCCAGATTTTCAATGTTGATCTGGCTTAGATTGACTTGTGAATTCAACTATAGTGATCAAAATAAATAATATTTTTCCCTTTTAATATTTCTTTATTGATTATCATATAGATCGTGATGAACGACAAGCTCAATTAGATAATTCAGCTATGGCATTTGCTTTACGAGATTTTACTGTACCAAAAATTCGGTGAGCTCAAACAATATAACACTAATATTCATATTACATCTAATAATATTGTCTATCTATCTAGACAGAAACGGGTTTCCAATAAGTCACATCGGAATCATCATCATCATGATGATGATGATGCTAATGCTACTACTACTCATAATAATAATAATAAAGACAATGATAATAATGATAATAACGATAATAATGTTGATAAACATGTAACCAATCGTACTGCTATACGTAACAACACTAAGAAATACCATTGCACACCATCGATTCTTCATTGTTGTATGCGATAATTCTACTTTTCTTTGCCTATTCTCTTATTGACAATGTTTAATTAACCAATGATTATGAATTTGATTTGTTTCACTATTATTTTTTATTATGATTAACTAACTAAATTATATATCTATATATATGCATATACATAGTCATTAACTGCAATCTATGGCTGTGAACCCTCTTAATGAAAAGTTTTTGGCTTGTTTGACTTTAACTTAGCAACATGCACAAGTTTTTTCTTTGTGTGTGTGTGTGTGTGTTTCTTAAGCACCTAAACATAAACAGAATACATAATTATCCCATATTAATTTATTTTATTTAACCAAGAAATATGATTTATTTATTTGCTTATTCCTTTTTATCAATCAGTATATTATCTGATTGCTGTGAATATTACTAATAACAAATTGAGTTTTCAACTTCTTATTTTCTACTACTGATTATAATAATATCAGTAGTAATATCGGTTGTCAGATATTTCATATTCGTGTATATGTGTGAGCCCCCAAATGCCCTGATATGGCCAAGAGTGGGGAGAGTCTGCTCTCACTCTCGAAATGCTCTCATATGGACACACGTATATAGCCTCTGCATGGGAAGTCCTACTCACTGCCTTCTCGTGGCACTACTGTTGTTTACGAAATTAAGAGGACGAAAATCGAATGTCCGGCACTTTAACCGGGTTGGTGCACACGGAAAGTTCACCTAGTATAGTTGGGAAACCCTTGTTCCAAACCAATGGTGCACATGAGCTCCAGTATCCTAAGGGAACAAATGGCGTATGAATCAATCGTTGATCACCAGCTACCATGGGACTTCATCTCCTCATGATGCTCCACTGTCTTGTGGATCGGACCTTTAGGTCGAAGGCTCCGAGTGCGGCCCCCTTAAAAATCCACCTGCTTCAGTTTGGGCACCTGTGCAGTATCACTGCCCTCACACAAATCGAATGAGATTTGTATGGCGCATATATATCTGGTGCCCCTTTGTACCAATATTTATGTGTTTATATAAATAAATGTGTGTGTGAATAAAAACATATTCGCAGATTTCACGTCAAAAGTATCATGATTTCCTAACATACTATTGGTTGGTTGATTAGTATTTGTCCGTTATTTTCTTGAATTACAGTTTCATGAATAGTATAGCGTCTGCCGTGTAAAATGGAAGAACAATAGAAACAAAATAACATTGCATTAGTGAATCTCTGAGCCAGGAATTATTTAAAGTATTCCAACGCCAGTGTTTCAAAACAAATGACTTTGTAATCAGAAGGGGTCTTGTGAAGATTTAGTATTTTTCATAGTTGAAAGCATGGTGGGACTCCTCAGCAGTTCGCATCCACGATCTCGCCTCACGAGATTCGTACTCGGGACCCAGGATGCCGGTTCAGTGGTCTGTCGGTTAAGTGCTCTGGCTCGAGACTGGTAGGTCCCGGGTTCTAATCTCGCGAGTGCAGGATCGTGGATGCGCACTGTTTAGGAGTCCATAATAGGACGAAACGGCCGTCCAGTGCTTCCAGGTTTTCCTTGGTGGTCTAGCTTCAATTGACCCATGCTTTCAACTATGAAAAATAACTTTGTTCCCAGAATTTATATTTAGATACGATATAAATTGTTTTAAACAGTATATTTATAAAGAATTAATTCAACTTTAACATATATATATCGTTATTGACAATCAATTCTAATTTGAATGTTTGGCGTTTAATATGTCAATGGTTATGTGTAATGTTCATTAAATTTCACCGGTAAGACGATGTTTTAGTAGTTAAAGTACATGGCTTTCAAGCAGTGCTTCACAGGTTCGGACACTTTGGTATCTACTTCGGTTTAAAGGCAGTATGGGAAACAGTTATCCTCACAGGAACAGTATAACTCTAAGTCAAATACATAAACTGGCATGTGGTAAGCAAGTATAACAATAGTATTTATAATAACACATATCTTAGACTCCTGTAAAAAACCACTACCTTGCTGCCTACGCCTGTTGCTCCTCGTGAAGCAGCATCGGCCGCTCACCTGGTTAGTCTTTTTAGTTGCGAATTTTAAAGAAATCAATGCTCCCTATGGTATTTGAACCAACGTCACATTGCCTTATAGTCTGAGTATTAATGTTGGTGCTAGTAGTAGTGTGGTGTGTGCTTCTGATGTCGATATATATCGGTTGTATATATCATCGTTCGAAAGTGGAATGACTGACGGCTGAAGGTTGGGAAAGGCGAAGAGAAGAGAATGAGAACAAAGAGTGACTGGTATGGAAAGGAAGTAACAACAAAGTTTGAAACAATTAACAGATATTTTTCAAATGAAGTATTTACTGTATAGTTCTCAGATGTTACTAAGAGATTTTGTATCAACGTACATTTGGTTGTCCTAACTTGTGTTCTCGTTCGCTGAAAAACCTATCAATTAATTGTCTCAATCTTGACCGTTCCTTATCCAAATATCAGTCCATAGTCTCCAATTATTATTGTTTATGCATTTTCATGCCAACTGCGTCTCGTTCCCATGATCTCCTTATCGATCTTCTACTGAAATACATTTAATGCCCGACCATCACCATATACTACTTATGTGGTTATCAGTAATCCGCACTACAGTAGTAGTAGTAGTAGTAGTAGTAGTAGTAATTGTAGTTCAGAAAAATACACGAATTGATCGAACAACACGAAATTACACAAAGGTAGCAGCGATTAACCACATCATACCTAATGAACTTCGATTGACACCTAAATTAAGTATTTGTTATTATTATTTTAGTTATTTTCATTATTATCCGACCACTGAATCCCATTTAGTGTACCATCTTTCAATTGTCAATTTAATAATCACAAGAGTGATAGAGCTAATAGCTTAGCGGTTAACTTACTCGACTTTCGAATGATATGCCACAACTTCAAATCGCACTTTATCTACTCCATTTTAGGTAACCCAGTAGCATTGTGGTAAGCGAACACTCAGGTGGAGAAGATCAATGTATTGTTTAGTACAAATTTACAGAATATCTTCGTAAAATATGACACCATGTATTATATACTTCATTTGAACATCTTTTATCAATTGTCTTTTACAAACTCCATTGTTCTTTCATTTCTGCTGTTATCATAATTACTTTCTGTTTACAGTCCCGCTTTCCTGTGAGAAGACTGAACAATCCGAATTAGACAGAGGAGGGTTCGAACCTGTTATTCACTGGTTAAGAGCCGAGTACTTTAACCATTGTTACATTACATATGGATGGGTAGGAAATATAGAAATACTTATGGTACCTAAATATATTAATTAAAACCATTTCAGTCAGTTTCTATAATTAACTTGGTAGATTAACCTAAAAGTTCTTTTCATTTGGGGTTCGGTTAGTCAGTTATGTACTTAAAGTGATCTGTTCAACTCGTCTTATCATTAGACTTCCATCTAAACTAATGAGTAACAACATGCAAAAAGTCAGTTAATAGTACGTACAGTTTACTGCTCATTAGAGCCAGTGAATTCGAAACCATGGTACAAGGAATATGAGTTTGCGTGTTTATTCGTCATTGTGATGCTAGATAAATAGACTTCATCTCAAGGGAAAGATGAGCGGATCCTTTTAAAACTATGTGGAAATTTACTGTTATAGTTTTAAGTGAAAACTGTTGAATATAAAATAGAATTTCAATAGTTGAATTCATGAGTCTATTTGTGCTAGACTACCATTGAAAACCTGGAAGCACTGGACGGCCGTTTAATCCTAGTATGGAACTCCTCAATAGCGCGCATCCATAGATTCATGATCTCAATAAAAAAACTCAACAACTTACGCTACCTCGTACTGATAATTACCATGTGCTCACTAGTGACTAGTTTCAAGAGGTAATTCTCAGAGTTCCAGTTAGAAGCTGTGACAATTTGAGCTAATCTGTGTCTGGTGTGAGACAGTTACTCACTGAAGACAATGGAAGGTGGTCGTGCACTTGCGCGAATTGCTTGAGTTTAGGCATTGACACTGTTGGTTGCCGGCTCAGTGATCTACAGGTTAAGCGTTCGCATGCGAGACCAAAGGCCCTGGGTTCGAAACTCGCGCATTAGATCTTAAGTGCACACTGCTGGGGAGTCCCATAATGGGACGAAACGGCCTTCCAGTGTTTCTAGGTTTTCAATGATGGTCTAACATCCACCAATCCGTAATCTCAATCAAAATCTCAACAATCTTCACATCCCCATACTGTAAAAGGTCTAGCTTAGATTTACTCATGAATTCAATTATTAAAATTGCTACAATCTCCACAAATCCCTATTCTGATAAACATGAATTGCTACCTTTAAGTTGATGAATACGATAAATTATATTATAATCAATTGGGTGTTTTACATGGCAAATTGAATTCATTTGGAATATTCATTTAATTAACTCGTTCTCCTATGCTTTCTATATTAACAAAATTCACAGACATTAACCGGAAACAACTTGATTGGTGTTATCGAAATGAAGTACATTTTCTTTTGTTTCATTTAATTTAACCTAATACAAATATCAACATTGATGGTGAAACATCCTAATACCATTTCATAACTTTATAACTCATTATGACAGCTCATCCGACGATCATTCTCTTTATGTTCTCATCTATTGATGATTTCATTTCAGTAATTTAACACTTTTTATTAGTAGTGTAGAGGTGTTCAAAAGATCTTTGGGTTTAGAACTTCATATCGCATAATGATGGAAGTTGGATAAATATTAAAAAC